TAACATAAGAGAAATAGGAGTATTTTAGCATTTTCAATAATTTTCGATAATTTTTTATAATTATAAAAAGGATAGAACACATAACTGTAGAATATTATTGTGCTAGTACTTCTTATTTATTACCAGAAGCTATTGAGGAAATTATTCAATCTCAAGAGATGGTTAAAAATGCATGCAGGGAAATGGCTTATAAATATAGTACTTCAACTCGTAAAATATATGAAATTTGGAATACATACTGAAGGAATACTCTGCGCAAACAGCAACTAATACATAGTGTTGTTTCTTCTAAAATAATGTCTGAAAATAATACTTCAGATAAGAAGTCAAAGAAAAGAAAATCAGGATCCGGTACAGAGGCTAGCTTTTTAGCTAATAAGGTTGGTATAACTGATATTCCGATAAAAAAAGTAGATAAAATGGATGACTTACGAGTTAAGCTTGCACAAAATCGTAAAGAAAGAGAAGAAGCTAAACGTGAGATGAAAAGGGTCTTAGATTCCAACTAATCTATTTTTGTTTTTTCTAAAGTAGTTTGCAATTTATTGCAGAGCAATGGCTCTTTGAGCCTACATACCATTTCAATATCAGATTTGTTATAAGCCCATAGTTTTTTATTAAGCTCGATTAATTTAGTATTGGATTCGAGTACCTCATATAGTGATTTTTCTAACTCCTCATAGCTTATGCGGTTTTTTTTAAAAGTCGAATCATCAGAATCTATATTAAAATCTGCAGGAGCGTGCCATTTCTCCTGTAAAATTTGATCAGATACCAGAGACATATTATTCTGAGATACAGTTGCGCAGTTCACTTCGAGATTATTCTCGACTTTGTGCATATTTATCAGGATAAAGAACTCTTTACCATTGCATACAAGTTTCAATTTCTGTCTCGATACAAGTAAATCGTAGTTATATTTGTCAAGTAATGTATTAGGTAAAATCAATATCGGCTTGAGGTATTTAACCACTGCAAAATCAGAGTATATGGTACAACCGGAAGTAAAGTCCACTAGTACATTTTGGGTGGTTCCAAGAGATTCGGTAGGAATAGTAGCAATACCTCTAAGGTCATATTTATCTTTTGTATCAATTACCAACTTTAATCATTTGGCTATATCTTCAGACATAATTGCAAAATTAGC